AATATGATGTTAATTTGACGCTTTTAAGCACAAGGGGGCTATCCCGAAAAATACTGTTTTGAGAAAATCGAAGGTAAAGTTTTTGCCCCTTTTCCCGTTTCTCTAAAAGACAAGGAGATTTTTCTCTGTAACCAAACAAATACACACTCCAATGAAACCAAACTTCTCCTATAGGTTGGGCAATACCCACTTTTGGTGTAGGTCAAGATTCCTGAAACCCCGGAAATCAGGGTTAGCCCGCTTGTCCTTAAAAGCGATCAGTGGGTGGTTGACGGGTGCTCTGGTGTGGTTTGCTTCTTCTGTCCTAGCAACTATCTTATCATCATTATCTCCCCTCTTTCTTTATTGTGTTTGTTACTCTCTTGCAACCCCTCTAATTTTCGGCACGTATATGACCTTATTGTGTTGCAAGTGCCGTAAAACACTTCATCATTGCCTTTCTCACCCTGCACCAGGGTATAGGCCACGGACGAACACCTTCCACCTTTCTCTATCCTGGGCTAGCCTCTTGGATGTTATTCCATGTCTTCCCACTTTTCTGTACATCGACGTAAAACGCTTACTAAAACAAACAAATAAAGCGATCCATTCTGAGCAGCGTTTTCTTTTTTTCTTTTTTTTTTGGTTTTTTTTTTTTGACCTGGCTCAGTCCGGGTCGTACAGCAAGCGGCCCCGCACCCTCTCCCTGGGGCGACACTCCCACAACCTACAGGCTCACTTCAACGACATCATCAAGCGATCATTCCGCTTCGCCACCAACAACCAGAAGTCTCTGCTGCAGGTCTCCGAGTACATGGGCGAGAGCAAGTGGACCTTTGAAATGCCCATCCAGCTGCTGTGAGTTTTGTTTGTGATAGAATGTGAGATGCAGCGTGGTGGAATCAGGCTCTCGTCAAATTTTGGGCATGTAGAGTTATTGGTATCATCTTAAAGCTTGTTCGCTTGTCTTTATTTGGATGAAAAAAATGTTCATTTGTCTTGAATACAAGTCGCGATATTTGCGAAAGAATGAGGTGGGGGTCACCTGTTTTCAGTGGTAAAATTAGTGAGAAAATGGCCGTCAAAGATTAGATATTTCCTTAGCTTAAGAGTTTGTGGTAACTGAAAATTTACATTTTGTGTGCCTTTAATCAACGTTTTTCAGAAAAAGTCACACTGAAATGAGTTCTTTAATGGACATGAAAGGTGTTGAGCCAAAAAACAAACATTTGATAAAAGTTCACAAACTTGAAGAAAAAGGCAACTTTCTTCACTTTGATTATTTTGACGAGAGCCTGATTCCACCACGCTGCCTCACATATAATGGAACTGGTTGCTCCTTAACCCTTTGAGTGGGTGGTTGGTGGGTGGGTGCTCTGGTGTGGTTTGCTTCTTCTTTACTATCAAACATCTATCGTCTTTATCTCCCCTCCTTCATTCTTGTGTTTGTTACTCTCTTGTAACGCCTCTAATCTCTGGCACTTATATGACCTTATTGTGTTGCAAGTGCCGTAAAGCACTTACTAAAACTAAAACGAACCCTTTGAGCCTTGACCTCCTTAAGCTACCGTGCCCCTCTGTCTGAGCTCCTGAGCGATATATTACCTTCATATTATGATCATCAGAGTCACACTCCTTATCCCACTCTTGGAAGTCCTCGTCATTATTATTAGCATCTAATTCCGAAAGAACTTCAAACTAATCAGTTTTACGTCCTGTGTAGTAAAAACAGTTTTCCGTGCGCGTTTTGCCCCCTGGCAGGTCGGTTTAGGGTTAGGGTCTCGCTTACCGGTGTACCGCTGGCTAGGCATACGGGCAGTGTGACTGGTGGCGATGGCTCAAAGGGTTCACCTTCGTAACGAAATAACTCGTTTTGCCCGAGATTCTATACTTTACCAGCTTTACTTTGTCTGTTCACTTGTGATTTTGGGGGCAGTGAGGGCATGGGAAAGAGCTGATGGTCGGTTGGAAGTTGGAAGACCTGGTTGGTGGAATGTTGCAGGTCTTTCAAGCAATAATTACGATCATGATATTGAGAATGATAATAATAATGTAGTTACAACAATAGTAATAATGATAATAATATCGAGAATTCTTTTAGTAATGATAACTAAAAATTTTAATTATAATAAAAGTGCTACCACAACTACCACCACATGCCATTGCTGTTGTCGTGCCATATGGCCACCATCACCACTGAACTTTTAATGACATTGACGAAGATAACAGCAATAGTATTAACAAGATTAGCAGTAAGAGCAATATGATAACAATAACAATAATAATATAATCATAAACTAATGATAATAAAAATAGTATAACGGATTGCTTTTTAAAAAATCTCATATAATATATCTCTTCTTGAGAGTTTGCTCGCTCTATGGGCTTTTTAAGATGCATCGCTTTGCACTAGACAAAATCCTTAGTGATGTTTATTACACCCGTCATCATAGTTCATGATATGGGGTGTTTCAAACATCTATCGTCCTTTTCTCTCCTCCTTTTTTTGTGTATGTTACTCTCTTGTAACACGACTATTCTTCGGCACTTATACAACCTTATTGTGTTGCAAGTGCCGTAAAATGCTTACTAAGACTTAAGTGTTTCTTGGGGTTTTTTTCTTTTAATGCCATAACAAATAAATGTTTATTTCCAGGCGGCTTTTGGTTCAAGAGGAGAAACAGATGATTTCCATCTTACAAGATTTTGGAGAGGTAAGCTTAGCTTGTTCACAAGATCAGATTTTGAGTGCGTAGATTGGCTTTGAGGTTCAGAAAACAGTTCGGGTCTCCAAAAGACGTGGGATCTCGTGGAGATGCTAGCGTGCTTGTCAGTGTCGTAGAAAAAGATTTGTAGGATGCTATCGGGTCTGTGTTTTGTTCCCCCCCCCCCCCCCCCCTCCCTCTCCCCCTCTCTCTCTCACTAGTCTCTCTCTCTCTCTCTCTCTCTCTCTCTCTCTCTCTCTTTCTCCCCCCCCCCCCCCCCCCACCCTTGTTTTGTTTTTAAGTCCACATGTATATAAGCTATGTTAAGCGTAGGATATGTAATTGTGAAGTAAGAGACTGTGGCTGGAAGGGATAACCTGCTCCTGGAAAAGAAAAGTTCTATTTCTACGGTGGTAATGCATGTGAATGCAGGTATGAATATAGAAAAGAAACTGCTATTGCTAGCTTTATCTTTTTAAGAATGGTGTTTTACTAAAAAAAAATAAAAGTTCATTTAATTTATAATTTTTACACCACTTTCTGCGAATTTTGAAAATGTTTTTCCAACTGATTTTTAAATATCCTAAAACTATAAAATAAGTGTACGAAGTTGTATCTTTATCAAAGAAAGGTTATTTTTTTGTTCACAAAGCTTTTCTTGGTTTTGCAGGTTTAAAATTCTCGATCTGCCTTGAATGTTGGTAAAGTTATAAAATGAGTCTATTAAAATATTGGGTTCCCCCCCCAAATATAGTGCTGTTTAATTTAATTTCTTGTGCAATGATTGTATAAATTTAGAATCATACTAATGGTTTGACAATCAACAGCTGGTGTCAGATTGGGAAGCCGAGCAAATCTTGTGGATCAGGATGGGTGCGGATGCCGCCGAGTTTTTCACCAATTCCTTGGATCTTTTGACCGAGCTGTCAGGTGTCTTGCTAATCCGTTCTTTTTTTTTCCACCTCTCCTCGTGATTGCTGCATTCTGCTACTCGCCACCAGACTTTTAGCATTCCTCTCGACCTGCACTGATGTATAACTCTTTTGTTTTCTCTCTCCAGAGGATTGAATGCTGCATCGATTAATTTTCTTCTTGAGTTTCCCTGATGTCATGTGTTATTGGCGTATGTTGTTCAACTTATTGCCTTACTACTAACATTCTTTCTGACTTTGTCTGGTACTGTTGCATCATGTTTTGGGGGAAAAGTATTATTATATTATATAGGATTTTTGTTTGTTATCGGGATACAAATTTAAACAGTAAAGTAATTACTTGTCTTGAATTTCGTTGATTTCGGAAAAAAAAAATTGAAAAGGCGAAGTCATTTTTTGTCTTAAAATTAAAAGCAGTTTTCCAAACGTTATCGGTAGTTTAGAAAGTGTACCCTCTTTATATAGGACTGAATAACTGGGGAAAAACCTGCGGTCTGCGTGATAGGTTACTACAATAAAGGGATGTTTCTTTGTACAAGATTGCTCCTATTTGAGCTGTAGCTCATCAAACGATGAAGAGTGTGCTGTTAATTCTATGATAGGGCTCTGCCACCCCCTCCTTCTTGCCTCCCAAAATATTTTGTATCATCACTGCAAGAACCAAAGAAGTCACTTCCAGTTACTATTTTTCTCTCTCTTTGAACATATTTCTTCATTCTACAATGACCAAAAAAACCCCCCCAAACTTTTCAAGTGTTCTTGAAATGCAAGAGTTGTTAGATTGATATTTATTATTGAAATGTACAGCTAGAGGGATATGATGACCCATACATTTGCAATGTAAATACTCAGCCAAAAACTAACAAGCTCGTAATCTCTCACAAAACCTATTGGTTTGATATTATTCAGTATTGGCTATTACATTTTGCCTCCTATACTGCAGTCATTCTAACATATATTTGCGAATAGAAATTTTCATCTTAGTGGGAACTTGTCATGAGGTCCTGTATGCCTTTCTAGAGATGAGAACAATCCTTTTTACAATCCCTTCCTTTCTTCAGCCATTTGGCATCGTGTGATAGTGGAAGTGGAAAGTACCCATTTGTAGACGTTTCCATTTCTCGGAAATCTGTGGAAAAAAAATCAGCTGTGTAAAACAAAGTTACTTCAGCATGGACACATTAGCCCTCGTGTTTTAGCCATGGCTGGATATGTATTCAAACTTGATGACCGAGGGGGGAGGGTATTCTAGGCCCTTCATTCGGAGATATTGATCGACTTCGAGAGAACCAGAATTCATGTGGCATGTGAAGTTGGCTTTCGCCTCGGTATAGAACGTCTTGAAGTGCAGTGTAGAGAATTGGGGCAAACGTTTTAAATGAATGGAAAATAGTTTCTATGTGTTCTTCTAAAATATGCACCATTTGATTCAAGACTGCTTGTTTAGGAAGACTTAAGGCTATTTTGGCGTGATGCTTATTTCAGTTTGTTGAGCGGTAGTCATTCTCTTGTTGGTCGCTGAAACTTAACGTTTGTGCAAATGCACAATTAAGCTTGCAGGAGGTTTTTTTCTCTACTTTTGTCCATAATTTCCTTTTTTTTGAGAGAATGGTGTATGGCATTGTTTGCGTGTGCATGTATGTTTGTTTTTCTGTGTGTGTATGTATATGTCTGTGTGTGTGTGTGTGTGTGTGTGTGTGTGTGTGTGTGTGTGTGTGTGTGTGTGTGTGTGCATATGGTGGAAAGGTGTGTGTACAAATGGTGTGGCAATGTGTGTACTTTTAAAGAATGATGAGGTGTGAGCGCGAGTTTCTGTTACCAGCTTTTTTCTTCCTTTGGTCTTTTGCTTAGGTTAGTGTGCTGGCTTTCTTGGTGTTGAGATCTTTGGGAAGATTATTGTCAGATGGAAGGGGGAGCTTTTGATGTTTTCTTTCTTTTTTTTCCTTTCTTCTTCTTTTTTTTTTTCTTTTTTTTTCTTTGCTTAATGCAAAGTGTTTGCTTGTCTTGGGGACGGAAGATTCCGCTATTTATTTTTTCAAAACTGTTTTCTCCAGTTTCCTGTTGGGAAATATCTATGCATGGCATCGTTCTTTGGGCACTATGTCTTTGAGTCTTTGAATTTGAATGGTGTCTCTAGCTATAGAGCTACAGAGGTCAAATGTCATGTCTTGTTGGGATGGTGACCATTTGGAGTCTTCTTGCAGGTGGTTGGCGGTGCTCCAGTGTGGTTTCTTCCTTCCTTCCTATCAAACATCTATCGTCCTTTTCTCTTCTCCTTGTTTTTTTTGTTTTTGTTACCCTCTTGCAACACCTCTAATCTTTAGCACTTTTATGACCTTATTGTGTTGCAAGTGCCGTAAAACTCTTACTTGAACTAAAGGGAGTCTTTTTCTCATTGAAGAGTGCAATACACTTTTGTTCCTTTATCATTCTCTCAACATTCACAGTTTTCTGATTTTAGTTGTTATGTCAGGCTTTCATCTCAGCCGTTACTTACATTTGAGTTTTGTGACTGAACTTAAGTGGAGTTGATAGTTGTTAAGACTGGTTGTGTTTAGTTTAAAGTGTGAGGATGTGGGAGTGACCAACACCAATATATATATACATTCTGCGAAAGTGGATGAGTAACTAATGTAACTTTACTAATAAGAACTTTTCTACAACGAGCAAAAAATATTGAATGTCTTTCTCTTAATGTAGCGCTTTCCCATTTGCAGGTCGTGTGTGTGCTTTTTTTCTTTGTTGAAATGATGTAATAACATTGTTTTGTTACTTTTTTCTATCACAACAAATTTATAACTGTAGTCTCATTTTGTGATATTTCATTTATTTCTCAGTTTATCATGAGCCTTACTGTAGTCTCATTTTGTGATATTTCATTTATTTCTCAGTTGATCATGAGCCTTACTGTAGTCTCATTTGTGATATTTCATTTACTTCTCAGTTGATCATGAGCGTTAACCCTTCTAGTGTTGACAGCCAATAAAATCGGCCATAAATGTTGATCTCTGGGGTCGCAGCCGATTTAATGGACCATAATCTGAGACACAATTTCAATTTGTTTATCCTGTTTTTGTTCGCCTGTTATCAATCATTTTCCGACATCATAAGGTGAAATCGCATAATAATGTCCCGGACACCACAGGCTATTCTTTTAGGTAAGGCTTGGAGGGTTAAGTATTTTCAACTTTTCTCTGTAAAACATCGTGGAACTGAAGCTGCTGGTGAAGATGTGCTATCTCCAGTATCACACCAGAATAATTTCTCTCACGCCGAAAGCACAGACCCGTACTAGACTCGTATACTATATGAAGGCCCACGAGACGGGAAACAATCTAGTCCTGATATTCTTCTTCTTCTCCTTTCACAAATGTAACTGAGAATGTTTCCTCTTACGTAAATGTAACTGAGAATGTTTCCTCTTACGTAAATGTAACTGAGAATGTTTCCTCTTACGTAAATGTAACTGAGAATGTTTCCTCTTACGTAAATGTAACTGAGAATGTTTCCTCTTACGTAAATGTAACTGAGAATGTTTCCTCTTACGTAAATGTAACTGAGAATGTTTCCTCTTACGGAAATGTAACTGAGAATGTTTCCTCTTACGGAAATGTAACTGAGAATGTTTCCTCTTACGGAAATACATTTTCCCACATTTTTCAGCTTTCTGGGGCAACAAATATGCTCATTGCTCATTAATAAGTTTAATGCCCCAATCAATACTTATTAAATTGTGAAAGAGACGGGACTTCCGAGAGACGGGACTTCCGAATTGAACATCCATCTCCAATAGGATCGAGCCAAATGGATTGAGAGTCTTGAAAACTCCACAAAATGACCAGAGTTAAGACCACCCAGTCTGGGATCTCTGGGATCTGTGGGATCTGAATCAGGGCAATCCTCTCCGTAGCCAAGCATGGTACTAACTGAGCTAACGGAGCACCCATGTTACATAACCTGTGTCATAGTAGTGAAACAATTCATCTGAACGTCTTTCATCTCATGTTTCATTTCCTTTTGTTTTTTTCATTTCTGCAGTCTATTATTGTTCTTTTTGCTTTCTTTTGTCTAAACTCCAGGAAGTGTTTAAAATGAAATTACCTTTGAATGTAATGGCAGAAATAATAAATTGTATTTGTTCAATACTTTTCAACTAGAAAAGGGCTCGATACGCTTTACAATAAAAATGTGGTCTGTGCCTTCTTTTTCATCTTTCTTCCATTTGATTCTGTCCCCAAATCAAATGCTTGCCCTTTGAAATGTGATCCTTGAGTCTTTCAAGACATTAAAGTCATGGCAACAAATACTATCACGGGATAGTTGGTGGATACTCTCAAGGGATTCCAAAATCATTCTAATTTTTCGGCATTAGTTTTGTTATTATCTCCTGATGAGCAGTTGCCATTTTTCTACTTATGATGTTACTGCCCTGTTAAAGTTGTAAGAAGCTGAGTAACTTGAAATCACATATGTGACGAGGAAGCTTTTCTTCTCAATTGTATTCTTGTTGCTCAGTTTATATCTCTTGAGAAAGGGTGCACAGCCTGGAAATGTTAGTTCGAAATGTGTGAGATTGAGGATGAAAAGTATATATATATATTCATTTATTTGCATGTAATGTGTGAATAGTCTTGAAAGGAAAGTTCTTTTCTTGGTTTGTAATTCTGAGTGCCTTAGAGCTCCATCAAGCGCTTCTTTTGAATGCTGATGATGTTACTCAAAATGTTTTTCTCACAAAGAAGGTTGTCAGTCGTGTTTCTATTGCTTTGACTTGAGTTCTGTCTGTGGGCTCCTCTGCTTCTCTCTTTTTCTTGAGCTTGGACTTGGTGAACTCTTTCTTTTCCAGGATGAGGCTGCTCGAGCAATTGTTCTCATGGCTTTTTTTTTCCCTCTGTCAGGGTCCGGCCACTTCGCTTCTTCTCTTCCTTACTCCCTCCATACTGCTTACTTTACTTTTTCATCCTCCGTTGCCGTTAAGCTTCGAGGGGAGATGCAGTTTTCTATGGTAGGGCAGCATCGCAGCTCTTTCAATTGAGATGTAATGATTTCATGATTTCTCAGAGTTCCCCCCCCCCCTCCCCCCACTTCCCTCTTTTATTTAAGAAGAAATAGAAGAGAGAAAAAAGAGATCTGTGATTGTGCTTGGCATAAATTCTTCTTATTATGGCACATGCAAAGTCTCAATGATACAAAATCGTGAACAGACCTGATGTAATTCTTTCAATCCTCCTCTTCAATCCCTTCCCACCCACCTCTTTACAAAGTTACTTTTGCAAGTTTTAAATTACATGCACAGATGTGACATTCTACCCCACCTTCTTGTCATTGACCCCCACCACATACCCACCCCCTACCCCCCACCCCCTTTCCAAATGCACATCCTCTCTGATTATCTTTTGCCTTTTCATCCCCCCCCCCCCCCCCCAAAAAAAAAAGGGGGTTCTCATACATTAAACACAAAGCATGCCTGCATCTCCCATTTTTGCAGCTCCCATTTGATCAAGGCTATGTAAGGCAGGAGACCTCGGACTATTGCATGAGCATGCTTGTGGGCTATAAACAGCAAATGGCACACCTTAGCGAGTATTCAGGTGAATCTCTCTTCTATAATAGACCTCTCTTTATGTGAACCTCTTTAGAACTATTCATTGATATATTATTCCAAAGAGACAGTAAAAAGGAGGTGGAGAGGGCATTAATTTGAGTGTGCATGGTCTCACCAGGAATTATGGCATTAACCCTTTCACTGCCTTATTATTTATCTTGAGACTGGGGAGGAGGGTGAAGTAATTTGTGCTATTGCCACTAAAATGCTAGTCTCTCTCTCTTACTTATGATATTGATAGTGCAGTGAAATCTCAATGACGACAGTGGCAATCTTTATTCATCTTGCAGGGAGAAATTTTTCTTTTTGGTTTACAGTACAGTGTGGCGTTACAAAGTTCATGTGCACTATCAAATACTCAAGAGTAATGGTGAAGAAATAATTTTTCTGTTACCTTGTGAAATAAAAATGGCTATGGTCATAATATTCCTGCAATGAAGCGAACCAAAATTATTCTTGTGTATGGTTTGAGACTGTTTTGTTTACCTGGTGGTCTGTAGATCTGTCCACGTGATTTTATGCACACAAAAAATGATGAAATTATGCGAGCTGAGCCCAAAAATGTGAAATTATGCGATTATGTTAATTTTAACAAAGAATGATGAAGGAAAATAATCAGAAATGATGCCAAAAATGATAATATTTGGCTAAATTATGCAGGGTGCATAAAACCATGGGAACAGGTATGTGAAGTTTGGCCTCAGGTGAACAGTAAAGGAGTTGTAACGACAGTGGTATAATTTTACTACTACATAGTGCGATGATATCGAAATAAGTTCTGTTTTTTCTGTCTCTGCTTCTCGTGAAGCAGTTGGTTTTTGTTTGGGTTTTTTTGTCCTTAGTCTATATTTAAACAACTCTGAACTCACTTCTATATTTACAACTCTGAACTCACTCCTTTCCCAGTTGGACTCTTGCACACTGAGTACCTTTCCTTATTGACAAATATTCCTTGTTACCTATAAGAGTTGTTTTAAATCACAAATAATAATAATATTTACACTGAATTTTAATATTTTAACATTTTAGCATTTTAAAGTCAATTAGTTAACCAATCGTGCTGTGAACTTTTGCAAAAGTAAACTACTTGTGTTTCGCGCGCTCATGTGACCTTAGCAGTTGCGAGCGCCGTAAAACCCTATACAACACACATACATACAAATATTCCTGTTTAATACATGCTGTGTCCTTTATCGTAATGAAAAATATTTAAACAGAGGAGGAGAAGTTGATAAATTTTCAACCTAAGCTCATTCCCCCATAAAGCATGCTGTCTTGATCATACATAATTTGACTGCTGTTTGATCAAGCTATTACTAAAACCAGTATTATTGCTTTTCCCATTAGTTTTAAAATGCAGTTTGATCAGCTCTTGATATATTATATATATATATACAGTCAGTGATCCCATATGTCATGAAAAAGTTTAAAGGTAGGACTCTTGTCTGGTTTTAAGTATAATAAAAAGGTATTCCTGCATCGAACTGCAAGGCATGTCATTTTTTGCTTCTTTATAACAGAATGAATTATTGTGGTGAATTATTATTTATTTATTTTGTTTTTCGTAACAGCTGATCAGTTTTGTGTTAGGTTTGTGATTGGCCGCTTATATATATATATAGATATCTTTATCTGTGTTTTTGTTTGTGAGGTATTTAGTAAGTCTGAGTCTGTGAAGTCTGTGTCGTTTTGTGAAAGTGTTTGTTGTGCTTTGAAAGCCTTACATCTGACGTTTTTCCTGAACATCTATCTGAGTATCTGTGATGCTCTGCGGAAACCTTTACTACATTGAAAATAGTCTGTAGATAACAGAAATTATCTGTTGTAGTCATTTTATGTCTTTTAAAAATTTAGGATGTGTCGATGAATCTTTGTTTACAATATGGTTTCTGTTAAGCCGAGTAAATATTATTCATAGAAGCTGATGATGAGTTTGTTGGTAGAAAAAGCCGTCAATTAACTAAGATTTGTTGTAGTGGCCTAGCCTTGAATTGCTGTTTTTGGTGCTCTCTCAAAATCTGGGTTTGGTGCTTATAAGACGCTCTTTCTTTCTGACCGCTCACACTTTTCTTTCGGTGCTGCGAGCGCTTGCTGTTGGCTTTGATGTGGTCTGCATCTTCTACTTCTATTTTAGTTTTTTAGTTAATCTCTGCCCCTGGCAAAAATGAGACGGTTGTCATACTGTCCTTTGGGAAACTTTCGGTGTGACTATTGTCATTTTATCTCTCCGGTGAGCCATCCGTTAGTGTTACGGTTCTGGCCTTAGTTCTTGACTACTACGGTAGACATGAGTTTGAATTCAACGTTTGAAAGTTATATTATCGAGTGTCTCTGTCATTCTGCTGGGCTGATGTGTCCCATACGGTACAGCTCAGATTGGCCCGATATGTACATTTTGTCAGCTTTACTTCTCCTTTCATATTGAATTTTAATGAGAGTAATATATATGATTTAAATTTATTTTTTTTAATGTATACCTGCATGAGTTTTTACGGTCCTGTACAGCCAAGGAAAATTTCCCTCTGGGATAATAAAGTTCTATCTTATCTTATCTTATCTTATCATCTTATGTTATCAGGCAGTGTGGAAGCAGCCTAACTCCTGAATGATGTTAGTTGTGCTGTTTGTGTATAGGAAGGGGGGGGGGGGTTCATTCTACAAAATGTTCATGTCCTAAATCCTCTAAGTTAGTCGAGTGAGGCCGGTCAGGTTTGATGTGTGTTTTAAAACGGCTTTCAACACTGTACTAAGGGTGGGTGAGTGGTTGGCAGGTGCTCTGATCTGTGGTTTGCTCCTTCTTGACTGTCAAACATCTATTGTCCTTATCTCTCTTCCTTCTTTTTTTAGTGTTTGTTATTTTTATGTAACACCTCTAATCTTTAGCACTCATGTAACCTAATTGTGTTGGAAGTGCCGTAAAACTCTTACTATGTAAGGTCAGTGAAGAAGGGGACACTTTCTCCTTGTATTAAGCTTCCTTTTCTGACATGACTGAGCTAAATGGGTGGAAAGCCAAGGAAAAACGCATGCCTTGCGTTACTTGAGCCTATGTGAATACATTTTCTGTTATTGACTTTTCAAACTCGGAAGTAAATTGGGATAAAACCATCACCCAATGATTATGTGATGTACACCATTATTCATTACAGTTACTTTATAAAAGTCTCTACACAATGCTTCTGTAGGGCTATCAGCTAGCTGATTTATTTTCTTGTAATTTATTTACTTCCAAGTTTTTTTTCCTAAAGACTATATACAATTCTTACAATATTGATATGGGTGGTTTGTGGGTGCTCTGGTGTGGTTTGCTCCTTCTTTCTTATTTATCGTCCTTTTTCCTCCTTCTTTTTTTGTGTTCTGTTCCTCTCTTGTAACCCCTCTAATCTTCAGCCCTTTATTGACCTAATTGTGTTGTGAATGCCGTAAAACGCTTACGCTAAAAACGGTGTAAAAGAATAGTGATTTTCGTCACGGTTAGATTTCCTACCTATATGGCTCATATGTGATGTTGCCCCCCCGCCCCCCCCCCACACACACACACACACACACACAGGTATGACCTTCAAACGTAGCGCAGACAAGAGCAAGCCAGAGCTGGAGTTTGTTCCCATCAATCTGCACATGGAGCGCATGGTGGTCAGCTCGGACACTCACCCTGCAGGTAACACATTCCACCGCGACCTTCTTTGTTGTTGATTCATGCTTTGTGTTCTGCTCGTTTACTCTTTACCAGTGGCGTCGATAGCCTAATGGTCAGGCTACCGGACTTGCAATCGCGGATGATTGCGGATACGGGGGTTTGAGCTTCTGCTCTGTCCGACGTTATGTCCTTGGGAAAGGCACTTTGCACGAATTTCCCACTTGGCTCAGTCCTATCGGAGATGGACGTTTTAACAACAAGGTCCATGCAAACCTGCACTTATCACTACATGGCATTGGACAGAAGGGCGAGAGCCCAGCTGTTGCTGGATCGATAACAACAACAACAACAACTACAAGGTCCCACCTCTTAAATAACCTGACAGTGTTGATAAGGGCGTTAAACCCATACCATTTCACTGTTTATTCTTTACGAAGAAGTATACTGTTGAGTCTGCTTCAACGGCCGCCTGTCCAAGACAATCGCGTGTGCAAACAACTTTCCTTCTTTTTTCTATCAAACACCTATCACCGCCCTTATCTCGTTTTATTTTTTTATATGTGTTACAACATGGTGGAATCAGGCGCTCGTCATTTTTGGCCTTGTGAGTGGAGTTATTGGTACCATCTGAAAGCTGATTTATTTGCTAAGCTTTCAATGAAATGGAATATATCCGTTTATCTTGAATAGAACTTGAGGTATTTGAGATGGAAGGAAGTGAGGTCTCCTGGTTTCAGTGGTGAAGTTAAAGAGAAAATGGTCGCCAAAGTTTGGTAACTCCAATAGCTAAAGAGTCCTTGAAAACAGAAAAATTACGTATTTTGTGCCTTTCATCAATGTTTTTCAGTGTAATTCACATGGAAATGAGTTTTTATATGGACATAAATGAGGATGAGCCAAAAATAAAAATTTGATAAAAATTTCCAAACTGGCAGAAAAATGCCTGTATCTCCGATATGTGTATATATTATGTCGAGCGCCTGATTTCCCCACGGTGCCTCACATATTTGTTTCTCTCTTACAACACCTCTAATCTCACATATTTGTTACTCTCTTACAACACCTCTAATCTCACATATTTGTTACTCTCTTACAACACTTCTAATCTCACATATTTGTTACTCTCTTACAACACCTCTAATCTCACATATTTGTTACTCTCTTACAACACCTCTAATCTCACATATTCGTTACTCTCTTACAACACCTCTAATCTCACATATTCGTTACTCTCTTACAACACCTCTAATCTCACATATTCGTTACTCTCTTACAACACCTCTAATCTCACATATTCGTTACTCTCTTACAACACCTCTAATCTCACATATTTGTTACTCTCTTACAACACCTCTAATCTCACATACTTGTTACTCTCTTACAACACCTCTAATCTCACATACTTGTGATGACTGAAGCATTTGAGCCTCCTTTCACTGATCTTAGAAAGCATACAGCGCTGTTTTTTTTTTTGGTGCTCCCAGGTAAATTCTACGACATGACCACTGTGGGATCGTTCGCCGCGCACGCTCGGGACATGAAGTCGGGGGGACTTAAGCGTCTCCTCCACCAGCTGCGAGCCAGCTACAAGCCCGACGACAGCCCGCAGCCCCGCACAAAGGTGCAACGAGCGTGCAGCATTCTCAACCAGGCCACAGAGCTGCGCGTGCAGCTGAAACAGCTGTGTGAACGCCTCGGGGAGATAGCGGCGGCCGACGATTTCAAGGCCATGGGGAATGTGGTGGAGAACATGAAAGAGTTGGTGAGTTTTGAGTGCTTGTATGAGTGCGTGTTTGTGTTGTTTGTTTGTGTGTGTGTGTGTGTTTGTGTTGCTGCAGCAGATGATTTGAAGGCCACGGGGAATGTTGTGGAGAATATGAAAGAGCTGGTGAGTTTTGAGCTTGTGTGTGTGTTTGTGTTTATGTGTATGTGTCTGTGTGTGTGTGTGTGCTTGTGTGTGTGTGCTTGTGTGTGTGTGTGAATATGTGTCTGTGTGTGCTAGTACCTTGCGGAGATTGCCGTGGCTGGTGATTTCAAGGCCATGGGGAATATTGGGGAGAAGATGAAAGAGTTGGTGAGTTTTGAGTGCTTGTGTGTGGGAGAGCTAGGACTTTTTCACTGACAAAATTTTAATTTATAGCTTTACATCTTGAAACACAGCCTGATAGCAGAAATTAGTTTCTCCTTCATCTTCACCTGTCCCGTAGATTGGATGTCCATCGGGGCGCTTTTGAAGATTTGGCCACCAGCTTCCTCCACTCCTTCCTGTCTTTGGCTTTCCTGAGCGTGTCTTTGAGTTCCAGGCCTATGCATTCCTTGATGTCGTCCTCCCAACTCTGGTCTGCCTCTGGTCCCTTTTCCCTGGTTAACGAGTTCATAATCAGACAAAAAATGTTGTGGAGAACATGAAAGAGTTGATGAGTTTGAGTGCTTGTGTGTCTGTACGTCTGGGTTCTTTTGTGCGTGTTTATGCTACTTTTTTAAATTGTAATTTTACACTTTTGCTTTTTAAGTTCGTTTTTTTTCATAATACGTTCGTTTTCTTCACTTCCGTCCAGGTGAACAAGCTGAACAGCCTTTGTGCCGACCCGCTGGTCACTTCAGCTGCGGAGGCGTACCTGTCCGCCAAGAGAAACGCCAACACGAGCGAGGGGGCAGACTCCGCGTCCTTGACCAACATGTCCGAGGTCGGGGGTCAAGGGTCGGATGTGGAGAAGGCGTGGAAGTGGTCGGGGAGCAGTTTTGTGAAGTCTCCCACCATGGAGCCTTGGGTGAGAAATGTTGTGTCTGTGATTGTGATCGTGATCGTGATTGTGGTTGTGGTGGTGTCTAGGAGAGGATTGTTGTGAATGTGAAGGATTGTTGTGAATGTGGTGGTGTCTAGGAAAGGATTGTTGTGAATGTGAAGGATTGTTTTGAATGTGGTGGTGTCTAGGAAAGGATTGTTGGGAATGGGATGGTGTCTAGGAAAGGATTGTTGTGAATGTGATGGTGTCTAGGAAAGGATTGTTGTGATTGTGGTGGTGTCTAGGAAAGGATTGTTGTGAATGTGAAGGATTGTTGTGAATGTGGTGGTGTCTAGGAAAGGATTGTTGTGAATGTGAAGGATTGTAGTGAATGTGGTGGTGTCTAGGAAAGGATTGTTGTGCATGGGATGGTGGCTAGGAAAGGATTGTTGTGAATGTGATGGTGTCTAGGAAAGGATTGTTGTGAATGTGATGGTGTCTAGGAAAGGATTGTTGTGAATGTGATTTTGTCTATGTAAACAGTGTTGTGATTATGATTTTGTCTATGATTGTGATGTTGCGTCTTAATGTTATCGATGTTGTGATTGTGGTTAGGATGCTGTCTCTTTGTATAAACAATGCTATGTTTGTGAGTGTGTCTCTTTGTGTAAACAATGCTATGTTTGTGAGTGTGTCTCTTTGTGTAAACAATGCTATGTTTGTGAGTGTCTCTTTGTGTAAACAATGCTATGTTTGGGAGTGTGTCTCTTTGTGTAAACAATGCTATGTTTGGGAGTGTGTCTCTTTGTGTAAACAATGCTATGTTTGGGAGTGTGTCTCTTTG